TTTATTCATAAAAATGCAGTTTCAACTGCTTTTTATTTTATAAAATCCGTCTTCTTGCGCCACCAGAGGGCCTTTTAAACAATAGGTAGTCTGTTAGCGTTGGTCAGTAGTAGTCCAAATGCAATACGAACGTTTGTTTCTTGAAAATTTGATCACGATTTAAATACAGTATTTACTTTTAATATTACCGATATGTCATCGAAAAAAAAAACGTGTTGTATTATCATTAAAAGACAAATTAAAGTATTTGTTTCGATTATCCGGATTTTTCCTTATCCAAACTACCTTCATCCCCAATTAGTCCGGATAATCGAGGTTCTACTGTATATATCATTATCTTACTTTTTCACTTGAGATTTTTCACTTGAGATTTTCATTGTTTGGAAGATGCTTTTATTATAATTGTCAAAAATAATAATTAAATTTTAATTAATTCTTTTAGTATGTTATAAAGTTGGTTAGATTTAAGCTACTTTTTTCCATTAATATTTTGTTTCTGTATTCTATTTAGCTCTAAATATTAAACTTTACACTCTCAATTCACTATTGAAAATTCTCAATTAATCAACTGGCTTCCAAAAAATCATTATCACTTCCACAGCTATAGTATCTCTAGTCAAGATAATCTCAAATGTCAAACATGTTGACGTTTTTAATTAAATGATGATGAGGATGATGTTTTTAATTACAAACTGTTAGTGAATAATTAACATTTTAAAATAAAATCATAAAAGTGGTCAAAACTTGGCATCATGTTAAAATCAAAAATAAATAAACTGTCAAAAAGTATCTGTGAACTGAAAACAACCAAAATAAATTAAGAATTTTGGCCTATTTAATTAAGCAGTTCATTTATACTTAATCTTTAAAAATGTTTTAAACATAGAATAAGTAAATGGGAGAGACCATCTAAGCAATGTAATATCATGTCATTAATAAGTATAAATGTAAGAAAATGAAGCTAGAAAACAAAAAGAAATTTCATGTAACAAGTGATGAATGAAATGGTAGCCAAACTTAAAATATTGTAATTTTAATATTATTTGTATCAACTTACAGGGAGTAGTTTGTTGTTGAGTTGTGAATTAGTTTTACCTTTGACACCACTGTTTTGGTGAATTTTAGAGATGAAGTTATTCTTTGAAACTTCTGAATTATTAAATATGTTGTATGATGAAAAGGCTTTAATACAAGCAAGCCAATGATATAGTCTGTTTCAAATAAAATGGGCTATTTCATTGGCTTGCTTATCAGCTTTATTAAAACTACTTTATCAGGCAACATGCCTATTATCTTTTATTAGTAATTGTAAGTAATTTAATTGTATTTATGAGTCTGATAATAATTCAATAAATGTACAAAAGTAAAATTAAGTAACTAAAAAATAAATAAAATATATTTCTTACCGTGTATTTTGAGATGAACATACTGAATCAGGAGATCCAATAAAGTGTATAATTCCTCAAAATATTTTTGAATTGAAGCAAATCTTTCTGGATTATTATTTGCTAATACCTACAATAATTAAAAAAATTTAATTTTCAAATTTATAATGAATTTTTTATTTAAAGAATTATAAACATATAACTAAAATATTATAGAAATATTTTTATTAAACATTCAAAACATTATTTAATAACAAAAGGTTCTAATAAAATTATGATAAATACTTCAAAATTACACATTTAAGTAATGTTTTTCATATACAAAAAAGTACTTTCTTCATTTTTTTATTCTTTCTGCCCTGTGGACACCAAGAGGACTTTTTTAATCATACCCATTATGGGTTTGGCTAGGTCCATAATGAGAGTAATCAGGTGATAAGAAAAAAAGACCCAATGTAGATAGGACAGACCGTCCTCGAAAAATTCCTGGGGTCATTCACCTGGATTCGATCCACGATCCCCAGAGCAATCAGCTGACATCTTAACTGCTTTGGCCATCTGGCTATCTACAAAAAGTACTTATATAATAGGATAATAGGATGAATTTCAAAATTATTTATATTATCTTATGTAAAAAAATAATTTTACATAATATTATAAATATTCAATAAGTACTTTTTAATAAATTTTATATTAGATTTTTCATTACTCTCTTATAGTATAATTCAAATTTTTAATTTTATTTATTTGTATATTTTCATCAATTCTTCTCAAATTTACATTAATAAAAAAATCACACAATTTAATATATATTTAAATAATTCTATATGAAAAATTTTAATATATAAATAAGGAAAAAGTAATATAATAGATGAATTTCATATAATGATTGAATAACAAAAGATATCATATTCATAAAATATGAATAGATAAAATTAAAAATGTGACATCTAAAATATTTGATATCTATATGCCCACTCCACAGAATAAACATGAGTTTGAGTACAGGTCAGATCATCAAGAATATTTATAGTCTCAGTTATGTTGGTTCTATCTCTCATCATCCACATTTACCACTCTTCCACTTATTCCTTCAATTAATATCATTTAAAGTCAGTTAGCATCATATATGGATAATCCATTATGTGTACGGTTTAAAAGAGGGAGAAGTCACAAAAAGTACATCATTGTATTGTACATGATAGGGAGTTGAAGAATGATCTACATGCATTGTTTTATGTGTTTAGTGATATAAATTTGTTCTTATAAACTTGCTTTCTAATCATGTTGAATAAACTATCAGCTGGAAAATATTTGCAGAACTTTTTAAGTCATTTTTTCAATTTTAGGGAGTCTATAAACTATTGTACACATAATTAGAAGAGGACAGGGAGGAAGGAGATCAAAAGTGGCACATAACTGTACATGTAATTAATGGACGATCTCTTATTTAACAATTCATATAATTTCACTACCTAATAACTCTCTTGAACAAATAAATTACTACTAATCATTTGGCATTTTCATTAATATTTCTGACATCATTCATATTTGTTAATTAATATACTAATCCATTATATGTACATATTTGTATATATGATGGAAAATTATGTGATAATTAGAATGTTTACTTAGGTTATGTATATATTTGTATTTTGGGTAGAAGTTGCCTTTAGGCTATTCATTTATATATGTACTGTACATATGTACAAAGTACTTCAACGTCTTTCCTCTATACTAAAGCAATAAGAATTTTCATAGATACAGATGTAACAGATTATGTAATTCGTTACTCAGAAAGACTTTATTGCCTATGTTATGCCGAGAATCACCTTAAATAAATGTCTAAATGCGGATCTCAAACCATTTTCCAGATTCTGCTGCGCAAGTACTTCGAAAATCGAGGGCTTTTCTCCCACTGTTGATGTCACGTGGGCACCGAACTCCGCCATCTTAGATCGTTGTTTATTTATTATTATTATTTTTTAAACAATCGTACTGATTTTATTGATAATATTTAGGTTTGTTGTTTGTATTAATAAATAAAAAGTCACAAAACTTAAAAGTATGAAATAATTTTGATGATAATTTAATAATTAGTTTTATCTAGTTACCATAATACACGACGGCCAGATGGCCGAGCAGTTAAAGTGTAGTTTATCGCTCTGGGAAACCCGGGATCATATCCCTCAGAATGAAAAACATGATGATAGAAATTTTCGGGCCCACCAACCCGTTGTGGTTATGGACGGATCCCACCACAATGGGGTAAGGAAGGGGCTAATTGCAACCTTTGTTAATCCCGACATATCTCACAAGAGACGGGGACCGACAAATCTCAGGCCCAATTAGGAAACACATTATGAGTACGGCTGCTCCATTATGGGTTTGGCCAAGCTCATTTTAGTGCCCACAGAACGGAAAAAGTTTTTAAAAAGTTCTTTAATACAGAGAAAAATATATTATATAGAACTAAAACTGATGAATATTGAACCCCGTGTCCTTTACTACGCTGCCGCTCCATTATGGCACTGGCAGAACTCACGATGGGATTAAAGAAAGTCCTACTAGAAAGGGAGGAAAGTGACGAAAATAATAAAATATAAATAATAATTATTATTGTATGAACTGCTATTTAATTTATTTTAAAGAAAATATACGATTAATATTTGTTATAAATTTACTTATTTATCAAGAATAAGCGTTTACAAAAAATGCTGATCTTAATGAATAATCGCTTCATAATTTCGTCTGTATTTGAGAGAATTTCCGTTTTGATTGTGAAGTAATTAAAAGTTAACATCATGCCAAATATTGGTGTTATATTTATTGTTTTTGTGCCTTAAATGGTTATGTTCAGCGTGTATTACATGTTAAAAATTTATATATATTATTTAAAACAAGTAAGAAGTTTTCATATTTTTAAAGAAGTAAGCAATGGCATTCTGGAACGATAACGTTTGATGGGGAAAAACTGTCTGAAATTTCCGACAAAGCCCCCCCACTCACTAGCGCTTTGGTAGTAGTAGGGAAATTGTCGAAAATTTCATGGATATGGACGGAAATACAAATAAGGAAATAACATCCTCTTAGTGTCAACAGGTCGGAAAGGTTGATTTATTTGTTTACGGAAACGTGACACGTGGGAGGACTTCCTAAGAGAAACTAGCTCCTATTTAGTTGTTACTGACGTGAAGAAAACTCGGAAAACTCCATATTGCCAGTCCTTTTACGAGTCGCAAACTATTAGTGTTCAGTGGTTTTATCTACTCAGCTACTGGTGGGCTAGGCCAGAAAGAGTTTGAAAAAAAATACATAAAATAATGAATATTCATATTATATATAAAGAATAGAATTGAATTACTGTATACATAAATTAAAGAATCTGGAATAATTTAACGTGACTCATCCCTTAAAGATCCTTTAATCTATGATTCATATTAAATTATGAATGAATTTGTAATCTTTACATTCGAAAATACTAAAGTTTCAAAATATATTCTTAATCTCAGAACAGTTACTTTATAGAACCAAATATTGTTTACATCATTAGTGACATTTATTGATTAAAAAAAAAAAACGCTAATTCTCTTCGTTGATATATCTAAAAAAGTTTGAAAAATAAAGATGAAGGTTACTGTGAAAGCAGAGGTCCATGCGGATGAGAATGGCAACTCAAGTAGGATAAGAAAAAGAAACCTTACAGAAATCAATGATGATGAAGATTCAGACGATCGTTCTTGCAGTCCATCAGAAATAAGTATTAATTTATCAGACGTTGAATGCAATTGCTTCGACTGGGAAAATCCTGTTTTAATACACGTTTCATCAAAGAATTTAGAGGAATTACCTTCAAATTGTGAAATTTCGAAAAAATTCTGTTTTAATTGTTTGCATAGCACTGAATCGTGTGATTCGTACACAAAACCTACATCATATGGTAGCATAATGACTGTTACCAAAGCGTCCAAGAAGAAATATCCTGCCATACAGCAATTATGGAGAAGAGTGATTAGGTATGATCAAATATATTTTGTATCCCCTTCGGTTTTTTAGAATAATTCAACTAAAATCGAGGTTAAAGATCAAATAGCTTTATTTAAATTCATATAATTAATTGAAAAAGGAATTCGTTAATTTTCTATGAATTTAAAAATTCATAGAAAATTAACGAATTCCTTGGATTTTCAAAATTCTGATCCGTAGGTTAATAGAAGAATTAAATAGGATTCTAGCGCAAAAAATTTCCAGCAACGAGTTGCGTAACTTTCCCGGCTGTTATGAGATTTTACTTAAAAATAGCTTTTATATTATTTATTACAAAATAGCAAAAAGCTTCGGGATAATGATGAGTTTCATAGAAAATTAAATGGTAATTTGCTTTCTGCGAAAAATTTAATCATGAAAGAGCAAATATTGGAGTTCTGTCATATTTGACCCTTCGAGTTTTTTCAAATCTCCACGTTTTGAGATGTCATTAACCCAAAATAGTCAAAAATATTCGAGGCTGTGTAGGTAATCATGCGTGTTGGTGTTAATTTTATTTAATATTAATGTATCAGGATAGGGTAACGGTTAAGAAACGAAAGTTGGCTTGGCAGCCTGTGTATAAGTGACATTAATGCCGTTAAATTTTCGTGATTAAAGGTCAAGTGGGTAAGGAGATACAGCGGAGTCACGAGTGGTAAGGTCGGACCTAATGAAGATTTTACTCGTTATTACCATTTAGTTAAATACATAAGTAATTTATTTCTGTCCTCAAAATTAATTTTTTTTTCCATTTTATAATAATTAATTATATAAAAATATTTTTTAATAAAATATCATAACAGATGGCGCTACACAACATTTTAAATTCTTTTACCGGGAATGTCGCGAAACTCGTTGCTGGATTTTATTGACAATTTAAGACTTTAATGATGAAAATTTACTACGTGTATGTTTATTTATTTTATTTATCACTACAAGGTGTGGAGTTACAAAACAAAGAGCAAAAATATATATGAAGCAGGCAATGTCTTACAGTTGTATACCAAAAAAGAGACTTTTGAGGAGAGGTAAAAAACATTTTTTCTAGTGAATGAATTCATTTCAATTTTACAATAAAATGGTAAACAACTTACTGGGTTACAAATTCTCTGGAATATCAAAATGTTGTAAATATAAGCCGCAATGTTTTACACCCCAAAAATCACTTGACTTGCACTTTGGCACTTTAAACGTTATATTTTCATGTAAATTCATCTTCAAAATACAATCACTTACACTGCCAATATCGCCACAATATTCTTTTGTGGCAGAAAACATTGCATTTAGAATTCAATTCTGCAATAAAACGTATTTAGAAAAAAATGGCATTTACAACGTTATGGCATTGCACGATATATATATATATAAACAAAATACAAAAACATATAACTACTTTGATTACCACCATCATATTGAATTCACGTTATACAAAGTTTGTATTGGAATATCCACAAACATGCAATTTGCTTAATGAAATTGCACAAAAGTACAGAATAAGTGAAATACTCTGGCCTTAAGTTAAAATAAATAAATAAAAAAGAGGGAACTTTACCAATAAATAACAAAGAAATTTGGTTCTGATGAAGAAAACTTCGGGCAGAAACTCACTACAATTTAATTAAGCTTTGTCTTTAATTGAGAAAGTTTTCAGCGAGAGAGGTATTATTTACAATACTTTAAGTTATTTCCAATATTTATTGTAGGTTGTAGGCTACTATTGTAGACCTTCAGTTTCTTTAATAATATTAAAGAGCGTGGAAGTATTGATATATCGTGGAAAGAGGTTACTACTCGTACATAGAAAACTCATATGGTCTACAGCATATCTAACTTATTCATGTTGTTTATTTCATTTCATTTTCATTTTTTTGGAAGTAGATATTACACTTATCCATTGCATATAAGTACAAATATACTTTTCAATATAAAAATTCGAACGTTCCATCTTTATGACGTTCTGTTTTGGAACATCAGTATTTCAAAATGGCCGCACCTGAAAACGTTTGCGTGTCTTTAAATAAAGATATTTTAGCAATTATAAGGCGGTTAGCGACTGGATGAAAATTATAAGAAATTTCTAAATAATAAATGAATACGTAACAATAAAACTTAAAAATTAAAATAATGAAATTTGTATCCAAACAGTGTAAAAATTTGCCAGATGAAATATTGAGAAGAAATTAAGAAATAAACATAAAAATTATTGTATTTTATAAATAATAATATTCTTTATCGCTGAAAAACGATACAATCATATTTTATCATATAAGAAAATACTAAATATACATTATACTGTGCATTCCTGCACAGAAAAAAAACACTATACACTTTTTTTGTACCTTGTAAGCATCTCACAAAAAGAACCTTAAAAACTTTACGTTTTAAAAATAATTTTAAGTAATTTACTTTTTAAAAAGTATTTTATATTTCAAATTTAAAATAAAACTAGAACTTTTTTATGAAGTTCGTTATAGAATGTTGATTTCAAATCGTATTTGCCATTTTTAATTAATGGAAGGATAATGATGGAGATAGAATCATTTCATATTGATAAGCTAATATTTCGGCAACGGAAAACATTAGAAATTACAAATATTTAACATTAAATTAATACGAAGAACATTCCTGGTTTTTAAATCTTTTTATCAAAAATTATATAAAAAGTAAACAGAACCAAAAAAAAATCGAACATTTTAAAATAATATTTCGAAAACTTTTCATTAGAAATTTTAAATTTATTTTAAATTAATTTAAAAATTTTTTCCGTTTTACGTATATTAAATTATGTTCTAAACGATGCGATTAAACCACTCTTTGCCAAGAAAAAATGGCTCTGAAAAGAGCCGTTGGGTCGCTGATTTGCAAGAAATCAGCAATAGGGGCCTTTCTCGTGGCAACGAATTACTATTTAACTACCGGATTTAACAAATCTTCCTTTTTTTCCTCACGGATTTCTTCCTCTTCGATACCCGTTTCCTCTTAGGCTTGCAACTGCGGGAGCCTTTCGATTTCTTTCGACTTTTCTTCCTTCGGCGATCTTTTTTCTTCTGACCCTTTATTGGTTTGATACAAATACAGACTCCCCTCTCAATCTTCCTGATGTTGGGAAGATCAACGGGCTCTTTATCACTAAGCTCTCGTTTTTTCTTTTTTTCCGATCCTTCGCTCATGATGAATTCTTCTATTGCTTTCGTTGCTAGCCGAATGAAGATATTTTCGAATTCTTACTGACAATTCGAATGCGCTGTTTGCTTCTAATCTTCTGCGACGATTCTTCCATTACGTAATTTATTTTTGAATTTTAATTTTTATTAAATAATTAATATCAGTATTAATTTCAGTGCTAATTAATGTCCATAATCGCAAACAAAAGTCAAAGTTAAAAGTCACTAATAAGTATTCGGGTACTTAAGTAAAATGAATAGCAATTGGCTAGCAGTTTCCAAACTAGTAAACACCTGTCCAAGTTCTTTTACCAAATATTAGCCTACCAGTGCCTAGTTGATAAAACTGAATACGCCTAATTAACGGGCTGGCAGCATGGTGATTAACCTCTTTACATGTCTAATAACTAAGTAAGGACCACTTTCACAGAAAATCCTTTAAGGACGCAGATCGCCCCATGTTGCTTTTCCTTATTCCAATCCAATCCTTTATCAAACTTCTTTAAGGCACACCCCCTCACCCTCAGACACACAAACCCAATCTGGAAAAAATATTTTCGGCTTTTTTAAAAACTATCATTATCATAATTGTAATCTGCCTCATTATACAAAATTTCAGGGAGCACATAAAAGCAATGGTATCTGTTTCTGGCCATATTATCCGACACTAGCATTGATCGAAAACACGTATATCGAGGTTTACGTATATTAAATATTGGAGCATAAATAATTAAAACATTTTAGTAGTGATGTAACGAATATTCGGTTACTATTCGGTATTCGGCGTATTTTTTGCTATTCGGCCGAATACCGAATATTTAATCACTATTCGGCCGAATACCGAATACCTAAAAACAGGAGTAATAAATAACAAAAACACAGTAAATTAATCGTTTTGGTATTTAGATTTAATGTTATCGAGTTAGTGTTGTTTGTTTATATTTATTTATAACTTATACCATGCACAAAATAAAAAAGAAAATAATATTAGTCACACGTATTCACAATTTATAATTACAAAGATCAGCACACGTACACACATATTCGTTCGAGAATCGTCGCACATCTGAGGGTCTGTCCCTGCCTATCCTTCTTTTTAAGCGCTCGTCTTTGCACTTCCCTTTCTCTATCCTCTATCGTTCTAGTTCACGTAGGCCTACGCATACATCATAATACGCGCTCACGATACTTCGATTCGTCACTTTTCCGACGTAGATTTTCCATTTTACAATTACGTGACTTATAGCCTGGTGATAACGGAGAAAAGAGAGAGATAGGACGTCGGTATAAGTCACAGTTATGATTTCATAGATTTGAGACAGCTTGGTAGCTCGAACCGCCCCAGGCTTTCGCCCGTGCACGCTAAGTGACTTTCATTACAAGCATTTAGCTTTCCGAAGTCTATGACAACAATTGTTTGGCATTGACGGCCGCGNATACTACTGGTATATAATTAAATAAAAATAAACAATTACCATTAAATCAGCAATTAATTGTCATTTATGGAAGAAAACGTTTGTTTAAACAACAATTAATTGCTGGTTTAATGGTAATTGCTTATTTTTATATAGTAATTATGCAATTTGTTAATTGAAGAGAAAACAAAACACACATATCTTATTAAATAAAATAATAACAAATTTAACAATTACAAAATTAATCTATGCTACATAGATTAATTTAATGATTTAGATTTTCTTTTGTACATAGTTGAATAAAGTATAAGTAGATAATGACAATTTTCCTAAGAAATAACATACAGAGAACAGATGAGGTTGGAATTTATAGTCTACAATTTTTGAAAATTGCAGCCCAAAATGTAGTATGTACTTGCTTCTGAGTATAATGTGAAGAATCAAATTTTTCTTTATACTCCTTCACTAATGAAATTAAACTCAATATTGCTCAATGAAGTCACGGGAATGTGCTGTTATAGTCTAAATCAGGGATGTCCAATCCGCGGCCCGTGGGCCGCATGCGGCACAAATGCGGCCCAAGGCAAGTTCGAATGCGGCCCAATAAACGTGTAAACAAAACCGACAAATTTTTATTATTTATTTATTTCAATGGCATAAAGTCAAAAAAGAAGTTTCACAAAGCCATAAATATTTGTTTATATTTTATTTTTTAGTGGAAAGGAAATATTGATATTTTCAAATACTTGGAGATGTGTGAATGAGGAAGGATTACTAAATAAAGCTGGAGTTGTGACTCAAAGGATTATAGACCCAAATTTGGAAAAAGAAGNTTATATAGAACTAAAACTGATGAATATTGAACCCCGTGTCCTTTACTACGCTGCCGCTCCATTATGGCACTGGCAGAACTCACGATGGGATTAAAGAAAGTCCTACTAGAAAGGGAGGAAAGTGACGAAAATAATAAAATATAAATAATAATTATTATTGTATGAACTGCTATTTAATTTATTTTAAAGAAAATATACGATTAATATTTGTTATAAATTTACTTATTTATCAAGAATAAGCGTTTACAAAAAATGCTGATCTTAATGAATAATCGCTTCATAATTTCGTCTGTATTTGAGAGAATTTCCGTTTTGATTGTGAAGTAATTAAAAGTTAACATCATGCCAAATATTGGTGTTATATTTATTGTTTTTGTGCCTTAAATGGTTATGTTCAGCGTGTATTACATGTTAAAAATTTATATATATTATTTAAAACAAGTAAGAAGTTTTCATATTTTTAAAGAAGTAAGCAATGGCATTCTGGAACGATAACGTTTGATGGGGAAAAACTGTCTGAAATTTCCGACAAAGCCCCCCCACTCACTAGCGCTTTGGTAGTAGTAGGGAAATTGTCGAAAATTTCATGGATATGGACGGAAATACAAATAAGGAAATAACATCCTCTTAGTGTCAACAGGTCGGAAAGGTTGATTTATTTGTTTACGGAAACGTGACACGTGGGAGGACTTCCTAAGAGAAACTAGCTCCTATTTAGTTGTTACTGACGTGAAGAAAACTCGGAAAACTCCATATTGCCAGTCCTTTTACGAGTCGCAAACTATTAGTGTTCAGTGGTTTTATCTACTCAGCTACTGGTGGGCTAGGCCAGAAAGAGTTTGAAAAAAAATACATAAAATAATGAATATTCATATTATATATAAAGAATAGAATTGAATTACTGTATACATAAATTAAAGAATCTGGAATAATTTAACGTGACTCATCCCTTAAAGATCCTTTAATCTATGATTCATATTAAATTATGAATGAATTTGTAATCTTTACATTCGAAAATACTAAAGTTTCAAAATATATTCTTAATCTCAGAACAGTTACTTTATAGAACCAAATATTGTTTACATCATTAGTGACATTTATTGATTAAAAAAAAAAAACGCTAATTCTCTTCGTTGATATATCTAAAAAAGTTTGAAAAATAAAGATGAAGGTTACTGTGAAAGCAGAGGTCCATGCGGATGAGAATGGCAACTCAAGTAGGATAAGAAAAAGAAACCTTACAGAAATCAATGATGATGAAGATTCAGACGATCGTTCTTGCAGTCCATCAGAAATAAGTATTAATTTATCAGACGTTGAATGCAATTGCTTCGACTGGGAAAATCCTGTTTTAATACACGTTTCATCAAAGAATTTAGAGGAATTACCTTCAAATTGTGAAATTTCGAAAAAATTCTGTTTTAATTGTTTGCATAGCACTGAATCGTGTGATTCGTACACAAAACCTACATCATATGGTAGCATAATGACTGTTACCAAAGCGTCCAAGAAGAAATATCCTGCCATACAGCAATTATGGAGAAGAGTGATTAGGTATGATCAAATATATTTTGTATCCCCTTCGGTTTTTTAGAATAATTCAACTAAAATCGAGGTTAAAGATCAAATAGCTTTATTTAAATTCATATAATTAATTGAAAAAGGAATTCGTTAATTTTCTATGAATTTAAAAATTCATAGAAAATTAACGAATTCCTTGGATTTTCAAAATTCTGATCCGTAGGTTAATAGAAGAATTAAATAGGATTCTAGCGCAAAAAATTTCAGCAACGAGTTGCGTAACTTTCCCGGCTGTTATGAGATTTTACTTAAAAATAGCTTTTATATTATTTATTACAAAATAGCAAAAAGCTTCGGGATAATGATGAGTTTCATAGAAAATTAAATGGTAATTTGCTTTCTGCGAAAAATTTAATCATGAAAGAGCAAATATTGGAGTTCTGTCATAATTGACCCTTCGAGTTTTTTCAAATCTCCACGTTTTGAGATGTCATTAACCCAAAATAGTCAAAAATATTCGAGGCTGTGTAGGTAATCATGCGTGTTGGTGTTAATTTTATTTAATATTAATGTATCAGGATAGGGTAACGGTTAAGAAACGAAAGTTGGCTTGGCAGCCTGTGTATAAGTGACATTAATGCCGTTAAATTTTCGTGATTAAAGGTCAAGTGGGTAAGGAGATACAGCGGAGTCACGAGTGGTATTATGGAGAAGAGTGATTAGGTATGATCAAATATATTNACTGTCAAGAATTAACGCGATTGGCGTAGAGTAGTGACAGCGGGCCAATAGAGAGCGGGGTCCTTGCCATAATGCGGTTTGCGCGCCAATTTTCGTACGTGCGTTAATCAAGCCGAATAGTTTGGCCGAATATACTATTCGTTGCAACACTACATTTTAGTATACATATACTGTATGTCTTAATTTCGAATATTTTACAGGGCTAATTCGTTTGGGTTCTGTGAGCATTAAAAAGGTCTTTTTACCAAACCCATCGTGGGTCGGATCAGGCCCACAATTGGGTGGTGAGTGACCTATCCAGACGGACCACACCCCGAAATATTCCTGGAATTTCTCGATCCCGGGTCCTTTAAAGCGTTACACTGCCACCTTAACCGCTCAACCAAGCCTTCCATTCCTTGAATATGGGGGAGGTTGGGAAAGGAGAAGGCCCACATTAGAAATTTGAATTATGGCCTGAACTTAAGTTGTTTTCCTCTGAATATGGACATTGATTTAATAAGGAACAATTACTTCACCAAGTTCCTCTGCAACACAAATAACAAAGTTCATAGAGTTTGCTCCGTTTTTTTTTTTTAAATTCTCTGCCATGTAGGCACCAACAGAGTTTTTTTAGCAAGCTCATTTTGGGTTTGAACTGGTCCACAACGGGGTAGCCGGTGGTGAGGGACAGAGCCTGACTTTTTGGATTATTCCGGCCTTGTCTGGATTCAACCCTGGAACCCAGACGAGCGGAGTGAATTTCAATTTATAGTAGGAGGTTGTTAATCTGGCACTTAAGGACCAGATGGCGTGATGACCAAGCGGTTAACTCCTAAAGCCTTTGCCCGATCTGCACCACACTTTTCATACCGGTATTTAATTTCTGCAACACCAAGGAAAGTATAAACTACCACAAAAACCTTAACATTCTACTCCTTCAGTGACACGTGTAATGTTAAACTGCCATCTTTGATCCTTAATACCTCCAATGCTAATGAAAGTTAAGCTATTCGTTGCTGGATATTTTAAATTTTGGCATATTATTAGTCAAATAGTTATCATGTGATATGACGTATTGCAGACTATGAGGACTATCAGACAAATACGAGGTCTGTTCAAAAAGTATCGGACTTTTATTTTTTCCGCGTAAACCAATGATGCGCGGGAGGCCACTTTCGGTGGAGTTGTGGAGGGGACAGTCATACACAGCCCTGAATTTTTTCCCGCCTGCAGGAAGCGTCAGTCGTTGGCAGTCGGCCTATGAGTGAGGACATGTAGCGAGCTCTCGCCGAATTCCACTAAGTTGGAAAATGACTGAACAACGTGAGCAGCGATATTACATCAAATTTTGGCAAAAACCCTGACGATACCCGAGCGTAAACCATTCGCAAGATTGCTGATCCTCGAGGCCAAAAAAGCGCGGCAGACCTGCCACGCTTTTTTTGGCCTCGAGGATCAGCAATATCAAGGTCATGTTGACAGTTTTTTCGAATGTCGTGAGTACGCACCACGAGGCCAAACCATCGCAAAGGAGTACTACCAGGAGGTCCTTCGTCGTCTTTCCGATGCTGTGCGACGCAAACGACCGGATCTGTGGTCGATCAAAACTTGGCAGCTCCATCATGATAACGCATCCGCCCATTCTGCGCATCTGATTGGGGGCTTTCGTCACCAAACACAACACTCCTGTGGTTCATCATGCTCCGTACTCTCCCCACTTGGCTCTGTGTGATTTTTGGCTATTTCCACAAGCTGAAAATGCCGCTAAAAGGAACCCGATTTTAGTCGAGAGAAGACATCGTGCAGAATGTGATGGACTGGCCGATGGCCATTCCAAAAGATGCATTCCAGCAGTATTTCCAGCAATGGCAGGAACACTGGGAGAAGTGTATACACTACCAAGGAGACTACTTTGAAGAGGATTAGGGTTTTTGTACCTCAAAATCAATAAATGTATTTTTGTCGACCAAAGGTCCGATACTTTTTGAACAGACCTCGTATAGTATTATGAAAACTATTCCATTATGAAGTTATTGATGGCCGAAAATACGTGAAATCCCATGAAAATACTATTGGAATACTTTTATTTATTTCTATTTATTAATTTTTATTAGTACTATTATTATATATCTATTTACTTTGTTTGTTACTTTGTCAACCTGGTTTTGCCAGTTTTTTATGGGATTTAATCATGTAACTCTGTTGCATACTCCATTCTAAATGCTTCATATTTTATTAGCATTATAGAAGATTTAAGAAGACCGAACTGAATAATAGTGACATCACCGAAGATTTGAATAATTTACAAATTTTACTAACAATATATTAATTTAAATTGATTAAAAATAAAAAAAAATATTCATAAAAATTGATGGTCTTTTTGTAGGTACTAAATTAATGGTCTTTTTGTAGGTATTAAATTGATTACAGTTATATATGATCAGTATGTCTGCAACAAATTCAAATTTCTGTTACATTAACTACAACAACTACAATTAGGAAAATAATGAAAACCTTGAAAACTCCATTTGGCCTGCTTGTTGGTAAGGCATGGGTTTGCACCTCATTGAGCTTTTCAGGTGCAGTTTTAAATTTTGGGTCTGCTGCTTGTGTGATTATGGCCCAAACCAGCTGATGTAAATTCCTTTTCACCGGGTCTAGAATGTATTAATTAAAGTGTACGTGTTCAGAGATCTCTATATAACTATTGGAAAAATCTATTTGATATGCATGCTGTTTCAATTTTTAAAAAAAAAATTTACTAAAAAATTCAGCAGCTAGGGAAAAAAAATTGGTGCTGCTTTTTGTAATATGCTTAAAATCATTATTTAGGCGATTAAATATACAGGTAACCCCCGTATAACACGATAGTTACGTCCAAAAAAATTGCCGTGTTATGCGAAACAAAGAACTAATACGAAAAGGACGGTTAGGTTCCAAAAATTAAAAAACATGCTATTATATTTTCATAATTAAGATAAATATCTTCATTAAAATTTTTTAAGTGATACATATTAATATAAATTAAACAATGTTTTCTTCGTCATCACTAAAAACACTATTAATTAACCGAGAGCGTTTTCTTTTTGGCAAGTTATCCTTATCCTCTGAGCATTTTTCTGCATTATCTTCAGATCCATGCTTTACCTTTTGCAAAATGTATGTAATTTTAGATTGCTTGCTTCTAGTTAAAAGGTCTTTATAAATTTCCTTATATGGTGCTAAGCACTTATGAAGAATAAAGCAAGTATGGAATAAGGGAAAAACATTCGGCAACATCAGAAGCAGAAGCGTCGCGATCTGGCAACATTGAAACAAGTTTCGAGAAGGACCACGTGTATCGACAGAAGGCGAGAAGAGAAAATTTACATACTTATGTACTAATAGTTCACAAAAATAATAATTTTCGTGAACTATTATTACTTAAGTATGTAAAAATTTATTACATTTCCTGTTGTACGAGGGTTTTACCCAATTCTCGAACTGTGTCAGAGTGAATCCGTGCTATAGAAGTGCCGTGTTATATGGGGGTTACCTGTACTTAGATTTATAGATAATAGAACTTGTGACATTCAACATCAAAATGGGGAAAGAGTTGAATTCATAGACCATTCTTAAAAATTCTGTAGTCTAATCTGAATAAACAATAATAAAATTAACAAAAATTTGTACATAATATTAAAATTCTTTAGAAGAAAAGACAGTTTTTAAGATAAGAAACAGTAAATATTAATTATATAATTTTAAAATCAATTTTTCTTTTATATTACGATGGATAAAGCACCTTCTGAGATAATTTTGGAGCTAATTTAACAGTACTACTTTCTTCTTGAAAATGTATTGCTTTTAGGCACTGCAAATTAGCAAAACATATGTCAGGAAATGAATTATCATCATCAAATAAAACAGAATTTTTTATTGTTGGGAAAACAAATGTTTTCCTGCTGTCATGCTGGTTTAACCAATTGTTTCTAATACATTTTAATAAATGTACTGAATCAAATAATAAAAATATTTTGTCTGATGGTGAATATGGATTGAATATTTGTTGTTAACAAACCATTACAAAAATTTTCATCAAAAGGTGAGGTTTCAAAAGTATTAAAACAATTTTTAATTGTTATTTATTAATACTGAGTTTATAAATTTGTTAGTCAAAATCTAAAAATTTGTATAAATGATGTAATTACTTTACTTATGATACAACTTTGTATAAATAATTTAATATATAAATCATTTTATAAAACCTTTATTAAGTAATAAATTAAAAATTAATTAAAAAAAACAGGTGTTTATACTTTTGTTACAGACTGTACATATGCATCTTATGATAGAGACTTGTCATTGTTTAAAAAATGTTAAATATTAATTTAAATATAATCAATCTAAATTGTCTGTATTGTATTTGCATTATAAATGTATGCACAGCAATCAATTACATTTCTATATATACATGTACTGTACATAGATTTACATATGGTCTTAGGAACTGTATTTTTACCATTATTTTTTGTTTGACATATCTTATTCTTGGAACATACTGTTTTATTTTTTTGTTTGTAAGACATTTATACATACAAATTTATACTGTACATCATATTTTCAAAAATATATAGAAAATTTGACAATTATGTTGTTTAAATTTTAGAATAGTTTAAACATGTTTAGTATTATACTGATCATTTGCTTATATGTATATTTACACCTAAAAATGATAAGTGTATAATTTTAAATTCTTATTTTATTAATAAGTTATCTTATTTACTCAACTATTTATTTATACCAAATTCAAATTCACGTTTATATAAACACATTTGTCTGCACGATATTCATTGCCTTTCACATTTAATCACCAATAAGTTGTCTACAAACATGTTGACGCAATGTCTGAGTCTTCCATCACTTATCCAAAATAATTACATCCTGTCTCATATATGCTTACTAAAATTGAATTTGAAATAAAATAATCCATTTTCCAATTGTTTACATGCTTTTTTCCGAGGAATTCCAAATAAATTATTGACAGGTAATGTCAAATAAATTTCTTAATTGAGAAAATTAGGAACAAAGCTCTAAATGGAACCTCTTTTAGCCTACCAGATTGATTACAAGATCTGTATATCTGCCAGAATATTTTGTTTGTTATGCTAATTTTAGGCATTTTAAACCGCAATATCTCACTTAAAAATCAGGCTATGTTCACAATTGTTTAATTTAAAATATCATCAAAGTTTAAAAAAATTTACATATGTTATATTTTAGACCAAAAAAATAATAGTATAAAACATCCAATTAATTTGCTATATGTATTACTTAGGTATGGTACATTTGTAAAGTCGAATGAGTTAAATGAGAATATCATCATCGTTATTCTTATTTTGTTAGACTTTTCGAATGATTCATTTATAACTAAATGGCTGTTTCTAAAATCAAAGATATGAATGTTGCTAGTGTAGCCTTATCTGAAAAATTTTACTTAGATTGCTTTGGGTGGACAGTTATTTCTATCATTTCACCTTTTAATTCACAGTTTAAACACGCGAGTAGATTTAGAAACATCGATATAATCGGCCGCCATTTTCTTAATGAAGTGAACTCACTCTTTCCTTTGTAAAGTTCATTAGAGTTTCGTTTGAAACCTCATTACTGTAGAGCATGCGCACCAAGTGAGACTACTACTTTTAGAACAATTCATTACTAACGCGTTTAACTTGTTTGACTTTATGAACATACCCTTAGATATATGTACTTTGTTTCCTTTAAAAAAACTTTTGTTTGTTTGAACTTAAAAAACTTAAACATGATTTGATATTATTATTATTATTTTCTTTCATATTTTGTAGATAAATCAACAAAATTGAATAAAAATTTGGAACATTACAGATAGCAATGAACAGCAAATAGAAAAAATTTATTATAATTATTATTTGTTAATAATGTAAATAAATAACAAAACAATAAATAAATAAAAATATGTACAAGATGGAGAAAGCAGATCTGTAAGGTGACCAAATCTGTAAGAGAAAATATAGTTTTGTACACTTCACAAGAAACATGCATATAAAACTATAACAGAATTGTATTAATTATATTTCACATACCTTTCATGCTAGCAATGATGTTTTACAAGACAATCAGCATGAACGCCTTTCCCACATCGTGTGCAGACTCTTGTTGATGTTTTTCTGTTGTTTGGAGTGCTGCACACGACACAACGGTATTGTGATCTGCCAGGTAATTTTCGAAGTCCTATTGGTCCTCGCGGATCTGTGGGACCTTGGGGATCTGTGGGGTTTTTAGCTTCCCTTGCCTCCTCCCTCCATTCTCTCCCCAGGCTTCCAATTATCTCCTGGTAGAAACGTTTGTGTGTCATAATTTTGGCCCGGCTTCTGGAATTTTCTTTGTAAAGTAAGTAGGCATTCAACATCATCCTGGCTATGATGTTGAAAGCTACTTTCTTCCAATATTTCTTGGTCCTCCTTTCATCCAAATACGTATATAACATCATATCATGTGTATCAACTCCCCCCATAAATTTGTTATAAGATAAAACTACTTGTGGCTTAAATTTAGCCACCCCGCGCCTAACAATTTCATTGTTGTGTGCCCTTGCGTGGCTGGATAAAAGAAAAACAGGTTTTGGTTGTGATTTTCGTTCCCGGAAGCCACATGCCAATATAGGACCAGACCTGAAATACATGATCTGGCCTACAGCAAATTTGTTTTTGAAATGTGGCAACATTTTTTTTTTGCTTTTTCGCACTGTCCCAGTGCAGTAAGTACTACGGGAATATAGGCTGCGAATAAGGGGTGTCGACATAAAATAGTTGTCAACGAAAACATGGTACCCCTTGTGGTCATAGTTTCCAAGTTTCAATAGCCGCCTCACAACAGTATATCCCAAACCAAACTTTGAGTTTCTGTGCTTCTCCGCCTGGAATTTGGCCCCTTTGTACGTGAAAAATCCCAGGCAATAGTGAGAAACAGAGTCACACAGCATCCAAAGTTTGATTCCCCATTTATGATGTTTTTTGTTGGGCTGATACTGAAGGATTTTGCTATGAATCTTGGTACCTACCAATGATTCATCGACACATATTTCTTGGTGAGGAGTATAATGTTGTCGGAACACCTTATTTGCATGATCCTCCAAAGGTTGATAGCGTGCACAAGGATCGTAACCTAATTCCCCTGGGCCAGGCAACTTACTTTTATCTACGAGATGGAAGAATCGTAGCAAGTGACAAAAGCGGTGCCTACTAAACAATTCCCCATACCATGGGTTGTTATAGGGAGGAAGAGTGGACCAGTAATCCGCGATAGTAGATTTTTTATCAAGTCCCATTGCAAAAAGAAAAGCCAAAAACCCCTTTATTTCTTTAATCGTAACTGGTTTCCACTTTTTCAGATATCTGGGCACTTTCCCCATGCTATTTATGACTTGCTTGGCATACCTGTTTGTTTCTGTTGCCATAAGAGAAAGTAAAGAAACAGTGAAAAAAAGGTTAAAATATTCTATAGGGTGAGAATCAGAAGGAGGCATGTGCTTGGGGCCAGATTGTTCTAGGAAAGTGAAAGGAGCAGAGAGAGATTGTTCTGGTGGCAGAACTTTAAGGTACACCTCATCTTCCAACTCATCATCAGAATCAGGAGAAACCTGAGGAGAGGAGGGTCTAGCGGAGGTTGAAGGTTCTTCAGCTTCTTCTGAACTTAGACTATCGCTGTCAGACTCACTAAGTAAGTCTGAGTCTGACAACTCATCTAAGTAGGTTGACAGTTCAGATTCCTTAAGTTTCTTACTGGATGAAGCCATTTGGAAATCTAATTTGGAATAAAAGATACATGTTACAATTGAGATATACGAGTAAAAAAAAAAATATTAAGAAAAATAAAATAATAATACAGGTAGCCCTCGGTTTACGCCGCAGTTCCGTTCCTACAATAGCCGACGCAAATCGAATCGGCGTAAAATGAACCCATATTTACAGTGAGGTATAGGGTTAGGTTCTACATAAGTGAAAAATAAGCTAATAATTTTGTTTATTAATACAATATAATACAAAATACATATAAATTTTTAATTTTTAAAATGTATTTTATCATAAAATAAAGTAAAATGTTTTTATTTAAAAATTTTAGTTTCGAATTTCTTACATTTTTCGGAAAAAAGTATCCATCTTTAATTGTTTACATTTTTGATTTCTTTCATTAAGAATTTCGGAATATGGTCGAATATGATGCT